GATTTGAATAATGAAGAGGAAATCGAAGAATTTCCTATTGAGGCTATTAAAGAAAAGCGTTATATCGGTGTGAGAAAACGGCCATGGGGAAAGTACGCTGCTGAGATAAGGGATTCCACAAGGAATGGAACAAGGGTTTGGCTTGGAACATTTGACAGTGCAGAAAAAGCTGCTTTGGCTTATGACCAAGCTGCATTTGTGATGCGCGGAGCTTCAGCACCCATAAATTTCCCAACAGAGAAAGTAAAAGAATCCCTTAAAAACATGAATTACAGGTGCAAGGATGGTTCATCACCAGCTGTAGCCATAAAAGAGACACACAGGACTAGGGGTTCGTCGAAACACAAAGGGAAAAAGAAACAAAAAAGTAAAGAAGAAGAAAATGTTTTGGTGTTTGAGGACTTGGGATCTGATCTATTAGACGAGCTATTATCAAAGAGTTGATTTTGTAAGTAATCATAAAAGTCTTCTACACCTGTGAATTAGTGTTTATTTTCTTAACTTTTCATTTCCTATTCTGGTTCTTTCTTGAACACTACATCCGAGAATTGATTTCAAATCCATTCAAATTAAAGATTACCACTTAGTGTCTTTGCCCTCCAAATTAATTAGTTCTTCAAAGTGGAAATCTATATGAAAAACATAGGTCATTCAATCCGAATATTTTTCTCGATTTCTGATTTTAGTTCCGAATGCGACAGTATCATGAACTATGATTTTTTTTTTTTTTTTTTTTTTTTTAATACAAAATTTGTTTTATATTTTTTTTTTCAATTGTTGGCTACAAAATTTGTTTTATATTTTTTCTTAGCAATTTATCGCAAAATGAAGTCTGAAGCTCACATTTATCATCGCTCATTAGTATAATGATTTTGTCATACTTCGTATCTCCTTTGAATGATTTAAATGTTACTGTTGACAATAATTATATTTTCTGTGGATGTAAAAATGTATTTTCATTTCTTGATCATCATAAATTGGACTGAAGATGATTCTTGAAATTCTATAGGCATTCTTTATGCAAAATCTATATTTTTCAGTTTTTAATCTGACATTTCTCTAGTTTAGCTCAAGAACATCAACGCGTTCCTCTTCATCACTCATTGGTAAACACATAATAACATTCTGTTGATTGTGTTATGCTTAGTCTACTTCATTGAAGTAAACACACATTAGTACTACTCTTGCGGCTTCAACCTTGTTGCTTTGGATTTGACTCTTTCTCATTATGGAGTTTGAATAATCATTTTATTTTATGTAGTCGATTTTGGAAAAATGATGGAGAAAAACTTTGTAAAGGCAAGGATGGTTGAAATCAGTTCTTTAGATAACATCATCATACACAATATTTTTAGCACAGAACTTTCTTCCACTCTGAAAATTATAACATCCATGCATTGTTTGGGGTGAAAACTCTTAAGTTTTTCTAATTTCCAAGCCTTCTTAATTATAATTATATCATGACTTTACCAGTTAACCTACGCTGATGTACTCACTTATCATTTTATTACATTGTTTGCTCATACAATAGCAGCAGGTAGGGTAATTTTGTTATTTGAAGTCATCTTTAATTAGTGTTGACATTTCATTATTTGAAAAAGGGCACCAACTTATTGATTTGATATATTTAAATTAATCGCTTAGCATGACACTGATTGAACAATCAAACAGAATTCTCTTCCTTCTATTGAAATGGATTCAAAAGTAGTGCAAATAAACTATCGTGCTGTCTTTTATTAGTTAAAAACCAAAAGTATTAATGTAAAGAAATTGAGGAAGCTAATCAACAAAAAATGTACATGTTGATACTATTGATCAGACCTGATCATGAACCACATTGAGAAGTCCATTCATAGTAAAATTTTGTTACTGCTTTTCGCACAAATCCCCTCCAATAATTTAACCTACTTTTATATTGATCATTGGAGAGCCACCAATTCCCTAATTATTAGACTATCTTGAATCTTGTTATTGTTTTGTTTTGTTTGTACGTGCTTCCTTATATGTGGTCGATTTGTTGGTCTATTAAGATAGCTTTCAGTTGTTTTTCGATTTTACTTATGCTAGGTTAGAGCCTTTGTAAGTGTTGTGTTTATCAAAAGGACTTCTCTCCTCCCCAACAAAATAAAGAGAAAAAGGAGAAAAAATGGAGTAGCAGCAGTTCAAAGTTAAGTAGAGACCCTAACAAAATGAGTTTTCAGGCTCAAACTCCACTACCTACAGGTCATTTCATTCTTATTTTTTGATTCTTTATTTCATTGTAATTAGGCTACATGTTTGCACAAATTATTACTCCAACTCCATCTGATACAGAAACCACCAGTAAGGGAAAAGTTATATTTTTTTGGGTATATATTGTAGTAAGTTCGTGTTTGGACAAGACAATTGACACTTTATTTTTCATTTCTTTGCATTATTTTCTCTCCTCGATGCTATAATATAATTAGCCCAACTACTGATACATTGTGGAAATGTGAAATGTATTATTGGAAAGTAAAATTTTCATTTGAATACATATGTCACATGCATTACACGTTTGAATTGAGTACAAATTTTGGTGGTTTGTTTGCGTGTTTATATAATCTTTGACTATCTTGATTTCGAAAATGAAGAAAAGTAGTATTATGTTTGACTCTTTGCTACATGCTGCCCTGTTTCATGATTGCACACACACTGTGACTAAGGGGCCATTTGAGTTCCATTATTTGTAGATTATAATGAGATGAATAGTGTTTTTTTGAAAAATGAGTGGTGGAAAAGTTTTTTATTTACGTGTAATATCAAGAGCTTTGTTCATTGGTCAATTTTCACTCAAAATAGACAAAATATTAAAAAAGAGTTTTTCCATATGTACAAAATTTATTTCACAGAAAGTATACAGAATCTCACATGAATTTGGGTTCCATATGAATAAAAAAGTGCCAAAAAAATCTACCCCACCCCCTGTTGTGAGTGATCTGTATGGATTCTGTGAAATCAGAATTTGTACGCCCAGCATCCCTCATTAAAAAAACGGACACTTTGAGTAATTTCTTTCTTCGATCCTGGTCTCACTTTTTAGGAAATCTAATTCTTTTTGTATTGCATCAGATTCCCTATCCATTTTTTGTGTGTTTTATTTATTAATTGTTTTTCAACATATATTTATATTAATATTCCTCAAGTGTTGCATGAGATTGTATTTTATAGAGTTAAGTAAATAAGAAACACCAAATTGGGAGATTGTGAAGAAAAATGAGGAGTCGATTTATTTAATTTATTTCTAATTATTTGTTGGTTAATGCAAGTCGAGCCCTAAAAGAGGTAATGTTCTATACTTTTGACACTTGCACTGCGTCATTGGCTTTTTTAACTATGTAAAAATTGTCGAATTGGGAATTTACACGATCATAGTACCGTAGTAAAAGAAGAATTTAATTGACAAAGGTATTTGATGATCCGAATTCTATTCAAGAAAGGTGGACTAAGACTAACTTTTAACTTCCATTTTAATGAAGTTTGAGTGACTAAAATCTGTGCATTGAACATTATGAACAGTACTCAGACTCTTGAGTTCCGATCAATAATGTGGTACATTGAAAACGTTCAGTGTTTAAATTAGGTAGAAAATTAGTATTTGTATTTCTTCACAACTTAAGGACCTAATCCTATGGAAAGTTTAGGTACACTATGGAAATCAAATTTAAATAAATATTTTATTATTATAACAAGATTAGATTTCTCAATTTCATTAAATCTCTATGTCAATGTCCACGAATTTACCAATTAAACTAGAATCTTGATTCAGGAAAGTTCTATGCACCGGTCCTATTTCACAGGGTCTGTACAGACTAGACACGTACGAGGTGAGTGGGTAATTATTTAAAAAATAAAATAAAAATCACCTATCCTCTTACATGTGTGGCGTGTACATGGTTCCTATGTACCATGACTCCCTAAAAGGACATGACCCAGATGTAAAAAAATTGAACATTTCTGGAGAAACATCTAGAAGCTTTCATGTCACCCCTTGTCTCGTTTTTGGTAATCATTTTGTCTCCTATTCGAGGGAAAAAAAAATATAGTGAAGAGATTGTCTAGGAACCTATTCGATTTACGTTTGAATATTTCAAATCATTGTCGTAAATTTTGGTCAAATTTAATCCGTTAAATTTTTATATATTTTAGACCACGCCCACATTCTATAGGTTGGGTCGTTGTAGGTGTTAGAGAATTATTGAAAGAATGTCAATTGGACATCGAAAATTAAATCAAAGATAAAAATATAAGTCTAGTGTCATGGATCAACACACGAATCTAACGAGGCAAGAAGCAACCTTGAAGAATTTCCGTCTCTACACCACTTAACTGCTTCGTGATGCATGCCACCACTTGATTCCAATGGTGTCTTTTCGTCTCTAGCAGTTTTTTGATTGTTGTAATTCGATATATATATATATATATATATATAT